GTTTATTTATAGATGAAAACATATGTGTTCAGGATACGTGTGCAGGAATGTAAAATTTGATGGCTCAGTGCATGCACGGTTGGGCAAAACTGAATCATTTTCCATTGTGCTGTCAGTCAGCTTGACGTGGCATGGAGGCGTGTATGAACACGTATAGTATGTGTGTGGGTTCTCCAGTGGGTGGTAGGTTGATTGTGCTGCTATAACAAAAAAAGGAGTGCCTGTTCAATCAGTATGTATATATTTTTGGGTGATAACAGATGGTAACATTGTCTGTCTTCTCTGGGGTGGTGATATTGAAATGTCTGCAATAAGTTCCAGGTATGCATACTGGCTGCTTCCATTATAAGGGCGAGGTTTATTTTGTTATGGTGAAATCAGTAGGAAGTAGGGCTGAAACAACTAATCGACTAAGTCGATTATAATCGATGATGAAAAACATTTTACAACGTTTTCCATCATCGATTAGTTGACATTCGGTTAGTTGCCCTGCTCGCGTCTCCACACATGCCGCTTTTCACGCCGCACGCCGCTTCTCCTCCCTGCCTCACCCAGCTCTCACTGACTTGCCGCGGCCAGACCCGCCCACACCATCTACGATCGGCATAGGGAGACGGGGAGAAGACTGAAGCCGGGAAGAGCAGGCGTGGGGGGACGGCAGCTGCCGGCTGACAGGCCCACGATCTCACGGAAAAAAGTTGCTTGGAGACTGCTCAGGTAAGACTGCCTGCACTTTCCCCCCCCACTTGGTACATTGCTCTGTATTAATGTATTGCTGGGATAGTGGGATTTGTATTCCTCTATAGCTGATGGTACATTGCGCTGTATATTATACAGCGCAATGTACCATCAGCTATAGAAGAACACAAATCCCAGCAATACATTATACACTGTATGTATAATGTATTGCTGGGATTTGTTGTATTCCTCTATAGCTGGTGGTATTCTGAATTGCGCTGTATAATGTATTATTGTTGGGATTTGTTGTATGCCCCTATTGCTGGTGGTATTCTGCATTGCGCTGTATAATGTATCATTGCTGGGATTTGTTGTAGTCCTCTATAGCTGGTGGTATTCTGCATTGCGCTGTATAATGTATCATTGCTGGGATTTGTTGTATTCCTCTATAGCTGGTGGTATTCTGCATTGCCTGTATAATGTACTATTGCTGGGATGTGTTGTATTCCTCTATAGCTGGTGGTATTCTGAATTGCGCTGTATAATGTATTATTGTTGGGATTTGTTGTATGCCCCTATTGCTGGTGGTATTCTGCATTGCGCTGTATAATGTATCATTGCTGGGATTTGTTGTATTCCTCTATAGCTGGTGGTATTCTGCATTGCCTGTATAATGTACTATTGCTGGGATGTGTATGTATAATGTACTATTGCTGTGATTTGTTGTATTCCTCTATAGCTGGTGGTATTCTGCATTGCCTGTATAATGTACTATTGCTGGGATGTGTTGTATTCCTCTATAGCTGGTGGTATTCTGCATTGCGCTGTGTAATGTAGTATTGCTGGGATTTGTTGTAGTCCTCTATAGCTGGTGGTATTCTGCATTGCGCTGTATAATGTACTATTGCTGTGATTTGTTGTATTCCTCTATAGCTGGTGGTATTCTGCATTGCGCTGTATATTTGTACTATTTTTGGGATTTGTTCTATTCCCCTATAGCTGGTGGTATTCTGCATTGTGCTGTATAATGTACTATTTTTGGGATTTGTTCTTTTCCTCTATACCTGGTGGTATTCTGCATTGCCTGTATTATTGCTGGAATTTGTAGTCCTGTAGCCGGTGTCATTCTGCATTGATTGCTGTATAATTTTACACTTTTTCCATTTCACTATACTGTGCACACCACACTTTTTTTCTTTTTTTTTTTTACTTCCCCCACTTCCATACAAACTAGTAGTCCATCACTGGAGCGATTTTTTAAATCCGATTAATCGAAATTAATAATCGGCTAACCGGTTTTGAAAATAATCGTTAGCTGCAGCCCTAGTAGGAGGTACCACCAAGAGGTGGGTAAATGTAGAGTGCCAAGAGGTAACTGGAGGTAGAGCACCGAGAGGTGGGGAGGGAAGTAGGTGGGGGGGGAAGTACAGAAGGAAGAGGTGGGTTAAGGTGGAGCACCAAGAGATGCGTTGAGGTGACTCAACTATAGGCAGGTGGAGAACCCAGAGATGGGTGAAAACACCCATAGTTCCCATATAGCCAGGGGCATAGTTGGGATGGCAGGGGGAGTTCAGTGCTGGGGTTCTCCAGGAAATATAAGATTTGGCCCAACAAAAAGACCTAAACAGAACTTTTGGAAGAGCTGACTTGCTTCCACCCTTCTTTGCTTCCTGAATCTCATTAGTGGTTTGATTAGGCCACCTATTTTCTTTTAGGAAGGATTAGGGGAGTAGAGCTAAGCTTGACCTATACAGAAACGGGCAAGATTTGCATATAACTGCAGCTGGCAGATCCAAAGATTTCACTGAAGGTGACCTCTGCTTTATACATCTTTTCATCATATGCTCAGTTTGACTTCCCAGGTTCACGATGTGTCAACGTTTAAGCAAAAGTGTAAATTTTAGTAAGTTTAGCAACTCCTTTTTCTGAAAGTGTATTTACACTTTTGCAGTCTAAATTGAGAAAACTTCTCTATGTTTACATGTTCCTATTCACACCGCATATTTAAAAATAATTAAATTAAATTACCTTTCAGATAGCTCTCTATTTTGCAGGCCTTTGCAAGCTGCCCCTATAGGAAGATTAAGGACAGAGGGAGCTTCCTCTCATTAACCTACAATGCTTCTAGATGTTTAACCCTTTGTTAGTACAGACAGTGTTCACATCTAGTTTACAACTGATAATGAGACCTGCAAGCACCATGCAGACAGGGTTAACTATCGTGAACATTACCCTCCCCGCCCTCTTCTTTACACTGCATAGACAAATCACAGGTCTGCTTTAAAATAATACATGAAAATTTATATATATAAGGGTTGCAACAGTCAAATTTTGTTTATTTTAATTGCCTACCCAGGAGACGCCCAAGTAGATATACATATGTTGTAAATTGTCAACATAAGTATAGTTACTTGGCCATATCCTGAGTTGGCATTTATAATAAACAAAGTCTGAGTGCTGCAACCGTTCGTTTTCTGCTTTTATATGTACTAAGGTCTATTGGGACAAGTCTGTGTTGCGAGCTCCAGGAAGAGACTGATTCAAATTAGGGAGTGCTGTCCACCCGGGTATTGTGTGTGTGTGTGTGTGTGTGTGTGTGTGTGTGTGTGTGTGTGTATATATACAACGGGACTTACAGCGGAGTTAAGTAAGAGCATCAGCATTTTATTATGACAATAAAATGTTGACACTTTTACTTCTCTGCTGCAAGTCCTCTAAGTGCCTGTATACCTCCTTTTTGGATTTGTATGAATATTTGGATGAGCATCCAGGCATTTACTTTACAAACAGAGGTTGGTGGCTACTCCTGGGAATATATATATAAATATAAATATATGTATATAAGCTCAGCAAACACTTAAAGATCGCCAGATACTGCAAACCAAACACCAGACAAATTATTTATGAGAAATTTTCTAATGTAAACCTAGCTGGAGACTCTCCAATCATGCAGGCTTTTTTTTCCCCCAAGATATTGGTTTAGCTTACTATGGGACAGTAAATAGGATATTACATTCTCATGGATCATTGGAAATATGTTTACCTGTATAGAGTATGGCTTAATGTAGACATGTGAGAAATGGATCTTATGAGTTGCCATACAGCTGAAATGATTGAAAATGTGAGGTTACAAGGTGCCGCTGACTATATTATAGTTATGGAGACACCAAAAAATGTGCTTCATTTTGTATCCTGTAAAAAGATGTCTATGAGTTGTAGTATTAGACAACAGTGCTATGTTATACAAAAAACAATCCTTAGTGCAGTCAAAGTGACACTAAACTCAGGAGTTAAATCTTAAAAATGCATTCAAGTACACTAACTATTATGAAAATTGTATTTTTTTTTTGTGCATCACTCAGCTGTAGATCCTCAAATCATCTCTGAATTGGTGCTGACACTGTCCTTCATTTTGGAGGGTGGCTACTTTCGTTGCCCATGGTCCCTGTGTGTGTTGTAAAGTAGCCACCGCTCCAAGCTCACTCCTGTGATAGACTATAACTTTAATACAAATTAGTAAGTATTAGTAACACTAAGGCCTGGTTCACACCTGGGCGTTTTGTAGCGCGTTCCTACGCTCTGCAAAACGCTCAAACACTGAAATCCCATTATTTCCTATGGGTATGGTTCACACCTGGGCGTATTACAGGCCGTATGAACGCGCTACAAAACGCCCTACACCCAAAGAAGTACAGGAGCTTCTTTGGGGCGTTTTTGTCTAGCGTATCCATTGGCATACAGGCAGGTAGCTCTCGGAAACACGCGTTTGTTGCATGTTTTTTTTTTTACCTCGAATCGCGGTAAAAACGTGCGACAAACGCGCATATTCGATACGCCTAGGTGTGAACCCAGCCTTAACGTGAGATTGTAGTCCATCACAGCAGCGAGCTTGGAGAGGTGGCTACTTTAAAACACACACAGCGACCATGGGGGACAAGAGAAGCCACCTTCCAGAAGGAAGGACAGTGTCACACAAATTCAGAGATGATTTTAGGATCTGCAGCCCATTGATACATATAAGCTACATTTTTGTTAATGGGAAAGGTACTTGAATGTATTTTTTTTAAAGTTTTAATTTCTGAGTTTAGTGTCACTTTAAGTTATGTGTTCAGTGAGGCAGACTCCTTTTTTTTAAGACTTCATAGACTCTCGTTTTTTTTTTTTTTAACACTGCCAACATTATACTCATTGTACCGATGTGATTGCTTGTTGCACCCTTTCAAACTTCCCCACCACTGGTCCGCCACAAACGTTTGTATTTGTCTCTTGTCAATATTGTTTTTTTTTTTATTTTTATACTATTATCTTCTTTCTTCCATCAGCTGGCAGCCATGGACCGGATGAAAAAGATCAAAAGACAGCTTTCCATGACCCTTCGGGGTGGGCGGACATTGGAAAAAAGCCCCGGAGACCATTCAGAACCCATTACTTTGGAGGACAATGGCAGCAGTGATAATGGTAAGTGATGCCATCCACTGAAGAAAGGAGGATAGGATGGATCTGATGGGTGAGAGGGCACAGGTGAGTGTATTCAGAGGTCACTAGCATCTCAAACTGCAGTAAGAGCAAGGATGGTGTATTGGATGGAGAGTCCCAAACTGGAGGTGTCTTGGGTATAAGAAAAGGAGGTATTATGGAAGTGGAAGATAGCTGATTGCAAGCTAGCCTGGGAATACCCTTCGCATAGTTCCTAGCAGAACCCTGGTGGGTGTGTTGTGAGCTATGGGTACCTCGTTAAGGAGAAAGGCTACTCTTTGTATAAAAGAAAACCTTAACATTGACAATGATGACCGATGAACACTTGACCTGGTAGAAGGCTGGTATAGGTAAGGAACACTTAAGGAATCTTTTGTAAGGTTGACCTTACAAATGTGAGAGACGTGTAAGATTGCTAAGCAAAAGTAAACTTAAGTATCTAGGCCAAAGTTTTTTCTTTTTATGTTTTGGGTAGACTGGAAAGGTTTGAATATTTGCCTGCTGCCTTCTTCCCTTTTGGGAGATTTTCCCATATATCATGTTGTAGTGACCAGCTGTCATCAAAACATGATGATGAAGAAACTGCTTGGGGAGACACAATCCTTTTGGGAATGAATACATAACTGAAACAAGAGTATATAACTGTTTACATAATGGAGCACCCCAGGGCTTCAGAGCCCTGCAAGGTTTCTGGCTGTGCATTCTTGCACTTCTTAGTTAAAGTACAACTAAAGGCTTCTGTATAACAGTTTGAACAAGTACAAATCCAGTTACTTTGGGATCCTCCTTCATTCATGTCTCACAATCTCGTCTTCCCAGACACTGCAGCTCACAGTGGGAAGGTTTCAGCAAAAGAGGTAGTGCTGTGAATCCAGAAAGCAGTGGGTAGGAGTAGCTGTGACCAGGTGCTGTCAAGCTACAGGCTTGTGAATCAGCAGTCTTAATGCTGATAGCCACACTCCCCTGGCAGGCCCAACAGGTATTCATGGAACTTTGAAGAGAAACTTTGCAAGAGAAAACTGTAAGTGCAGAAGCAATTAAGTGTTGCAGCCTTTTTTTTTTTTTTTTTTTTTTGGGAGGCCATAGTTCTACTTTTATTTCAGGCGCTGAAAAGTGCATATAGGTACACTTTAAATGTCAGCCCCTCAAGAAAGTACTTACCTTTACCATGGGATTCAGCTCTCCCTGTTGATCACTGTTCTACTTGGACCTTTTGGGTTAGGGGCTTGTTTTTTCATGGATATTGCAGGCTGTATAAGAGCGAGAACAATCGCTTGTACACCCACCTGTGCATTTCAACTGGTTCAACTGTGGCATACCCCTACATTCCTAGGATTTCATGCTGTTGCTGATCAAGTAAACCTCTGTGGAGGTGCATGAAAAGCCTTGCCTAACTTGGGACAGCTGTGATCTTGTCTGTTGGCCATCTGTTGGATGACTTTCACGAATGCATCTCTTCTCATATCTTCGACAATCCAACTACACCCATTGGGTGGAGTAGCACCCTGTGGCTAGGTTAAGCAGCATATTCACTGCAATTTAAAATGAATTATAGGTGAAGAGGCTTGTTAATTGTATAGTTCAGAAAAGCCAAGGGCAGGATCATTGTTGGGGCGCCGTGGTAAGTCACTTGATGGAGATTATCGATTGTTGAAGCATGTGTTTTTCTGCCCTTGAAAAGGTAGTTTGCCCACAAACCAGTACTTAAAGGAGGCCCCAATGGTGAGTGCCCGCTTTGCATGCTGCTGGTTTTGGGTTAAAATCTAGAATTTTTTTCCTCCTTTTTTTTAAATTTTTATTCATTTTAGTTTTGTTTTTCCGTTTTAATCTGTATTATTTTTGTTTTCTTTTAAGTTAAGTTAATTTTATTCTTCCCTTGCTGTTTTTTCCCCTTCTCTGGCACCTCATCCCCTTTAAATTTGTCATTTCCCACTTTGTCCACCATTCTAATCGCCCTCTCTTTCCTTTGTCTCTCTACTAACTGTGCCATGGCTACTGTTCCATTGTCTTTGCTTTCCTTGTCTCCATTACTCCATCCTCCTTTTTCCTGCATTGGTTCTTTGTCCTGCCATGTCCTTGTCTTTCCTCTTCACTCCTTCCCCCCTTCATCCTGTCCTGCCCCCCCCCCCCCCCCCCCCTCAGAGCCCATCGTCAGAAATGGGAGAAGCCTCTCGTCCCACAGCATGCAATCCTTCCTGCACCACTACACCGCCAGCTCCTTCCAAAAGCCGCCCATACCCCGGCCCCACAGTGCCGTCTGCAGGAGTCTCAGCTCTTACCTGAACCGGAGCAGCCGACTAGGTACGTGTGTGCGCGCCCCATCAAAACAATCAGGCCTATTCAGTAAGGCAGCGCAAACGATAATGTGCAGACTGCAGTAACCCTTAGCTACTAGTTGGATTTTACACATCAGCAAAAGATGAAATTTGATTGGTTGCTGGGGGTTTTGAACAATGCCTTACTAAATAAGCCCACAGGTGTGCACATAAGAACACTGACAGGTGTGGTCCTACCGCCATACCTCACTTTGCTTGTGCACACCACCAGGTCGTGTTGTGTTTGTGTGTACGTATCGCTAAGTGTGTATCTTTGTGAGATAGTCTTCAAGTCTTGTATTTAAGATGTATGTCAATATTCCATATAAATATATATTTTTATATTGTATACAAACCTCCCATCGGCCATTAAAGGGCCTTTTCATAACCTTTTTTTTGTCCTATGTATACTGCCTGGCCAAACAAAAGTCCCCAACTGGATTTAGCTAAGCAAATGGGTAAGAGCCCTCCATTGGATAATTACTGTAGTGATTTTAATAAGTTTTATCTGACAACTTATTTAACCCTAACTGATGCAGTGAGTAGCTTCTCATTTCTTAAACAACCAGTAGACACATCCTGTGGTCATGGAAAGATATGTAATTCTTTTTTAGAAGAGTCAAATTATTCACAGGGCTCCAATAGTGTAAGAATGGTTCAGGGAGTATGCGATATAATTTTCACACCTGGATTGGCCACCACAGAGTCCAGACCTTAACCCCATTGAGAATATTTGGGATGTTCTGGAGAAGACTTTTTACGCAGTGGTCCAACTCTCCCATCACTACAAGATCTTGGTGAAACATTAATGCAACTCTGGATGGAAATAAATGTTGTGACATTGCATAAACTCATGGAAACGATGCCACAGCTATGTGTGCAGTAATCAAAGCTAAAGGTGGTCCAACGAAATATTAGAATGTGTGACTTTTTTTTTTTTTTGGCCAGGCAGTGTATTATTTTATTTTTAGGGACAAAATAGACATATTGTTTATTATGGCATTTTTAAATCTAATTTCTATGACCATATTATTTGTCTTGTCAAAGGTAATTAAAATGTAAGCTTCCCTTGCTTCTTTTTTTTCTCCCTCTATAATTGGAGTAAAGTCAACCTTCAATTCTCTAAACATGTAAACATAAGTATCCTCATAATCTGCTTCATCAACTATTTCAAAAGCACCTTGTATTTCCTGAAAATGCGAAGACTAAACGGAACCTTTACTGATATGTAAATTTTGACTTTTTGCCAAAAGTCAGCATTGAAAGGAAGTTTTCCTCTCTATCTCTATCCACTCCTTCGGCCTCCGACATACATAGAGAGCAGTAACATTATGATGTGTCTTTGATGTTTGGGCTGTGATTGATAGCTTAGCTCCACCAGCTCAAGGCTATGTGTGACACAAGAAGTAAGTGCCCAGGAAATAACGGTCACTGGCTACAGGCTGCAGAGAAAAGGGTTGCTTTAAAGGAAACCCATTATGAGAGAAACCTAGAGACTGACATCACTGACCTCTCTCCTGGAAATGGTAGTTACCTGACTGTCATTCTGATCCTCCTAGTTATTGAACTGGGGCAAGCATGGGGAATGGAACTTTTGAGTTTTGTGCAACTCCAACTGGCATGATTGTTCCAGTAAAGCTGGTGAGTCAGTATTGCAGGCAATCAACTAGCATTTTCAGAAAGTGGCCGCTGTATTTGTCTCATGACAAGCTTGTTTAAACTCCTCCCACAGATCTGTTATCCTTTTTTTGAGATTTTTAAGCTTGGTATTCATATCCTGATCTACCTTTACGCTATAGCTTCAATCCAGACTATTGCGTATGTGATACTTATATTATTTATGTTAGGGGGTATCTAAAGCCATTACCAGCCTATAGCAGCAATACTAAGAAATAGCAAGAACCTCTGTCATTTAAAAAAAAAAAATTTTTTTGCCACCTGTGACCCATTGGAGAGAATTCAATTCACTTCCTGCCTCTGAGACACAAGAAGAAGTGAAAGGAAAGTTCCTCAAAGTGAGAGGAAGCGCCCTTTTAGTCACCGTAACAAGTGTCCCCACCTCTTGTTTCGGCAATATTTTGGATTTCCCATAGTTTGTCACGCAGACAGTGGGCACCAGAACAGATTGGATAAAGCTCTCTAGTTCTTGTAAAGCTCTGTTAGCTTGTACAGGAATGTCAGTCTAACGCAACCTGCTTAAAGGAGGGGAGAGCACATGGATGACTTAATCAGTGTTCTTCTGCTCCTCCATTTCCATACAGCAGGAGGAAGCAGAAGTTCAGTAGCAATTTCTGTCCTCTGTAGGCATTCAGCAGATGGGTGCCATTGCCAGAATTTCAGGGTGAGAAGAGGTATGGAAATACACCCATGGAGGATGCTTGTAGCTGTGGGGTTATAATTGAGACCCCATTGTTATGATTTTTGCCTACAGCTCCGCTTTTGAGAGGTAGTTTATCATGTGTAATGGTTTAAGAAAAATGGCAGCCACCACTTCATAGTAGACGGAGCTCATGTTAAGCCTCTGTAGACCCTTACCTATTTTTTCCTTCTTTGTGGGCCATTGGTATTTCCTCCTATTTCTCCTTCAGAAAGAGATGTAGCTGTCACTGTGAACCATTGACCACTTTCTAAAAGCCTTTCACCTATTTAACAATACATATTATTTTATATAGGCACTTTTTTTCCTCAATGAATGCCACTGGCGCTACTTTCCCCCTTGACATTATAACACTGATACTACTATGTCTCAGATAACCAGGCACTAGCTCTGTCTCCTGCCTAGGCCCTTAGAAATTTTTACTAATGGCAATCTACATACAGATTATAGACAATTTACAGGCTTTTTATTCTTTTGCATACTTTATTTTTCTTTCCCTCCACATTTGTCTTTACAGTGGCCATTTTTACTAAGGGCAGATTAATCCATCTCCCTTTACTTCCTGGAACTCTGGCACAAGTGAGTAGGACATGTGACCATGCACATCATCTGAGGGGGGGAAAATGATTTTCCCTGAGATCTTGCAAGATTTTGCTGTTAACAGGTGATATTTCCAAGCAATTGACTGCAGATGTAACCTTTCAGGATGTATCTCTCAAGCATGGGTTACATCACTAATGGCTAAGAGGACCAGGAAGTAGAAAAACAATAATTGTAACTAAAAGCAAAATATGTTTGCTTAACTAATAAATGGACCATAATTATATATAAGCATGCAGAGCTGCACACTGATGTGATTTTTTTTTTTTTAGTGAAAGGGGGTAAAGGTCCACTTTAGAGATTTTGGCTAGGCCCATCCTATTTCTTTTGCCTCTCTAGCACTATAATGGTGGTGGATTTACTACCCCTCCAGCACCATAACAGTCAGCTTTGACACATTCATGGTTCTAGCAGTGCCTCCATGCTATTTTGGTTCTGGCGAAGAACTGGACAAATCCCAGGAGTCATATATCCAATGAAACAATCACAGCTGGTGTCTACTATGGAGAGTGTGCTTGCCTTGTCACATTCCCTCTCTGCTCGATGTCTTTCCCAGTTCAAACATCCAAGGCGGCTTTAAATTTGATTGGTTGCTAGGATAAGTTTCCTAGTACTGATGCAATGTGAAAGTCAAAGAGCAAGCAAGGAGTCTGATGAGAGTGTGCTTGGAAATGCCTCCAGAAAGGTTAACAAAAGGTGTTCCCAGATCCTTGCAAAAAGGCACTGGAGAGGACTAATACCCAAAAAAAATGCCTGCATCAAAAATGGTGGCCTTGAACCAATTGTATTCATTTCAAAGCTTCATTTTAAAGTGACATTAAAGTCAATTCCCCCCCCCCCCCCCCCCCATGTTAAGTAAAACACTTACCTTAAATGATGTCTCCTAATCCCATCTTCCTCTTCTTTTCAGCCTTCTCTCCAGCGCTGCGGCGTGTCTCCGATCCAGCGCTGACTCCTCTGTCCTTGCTGGCACTTCCTGTCCCACAGTGTCTGCATGTGGGTGCATATGTCCATAGACTTACCTTGCGTCTCTCCTCGTCTCCCAGCTGAAAATCCGAACTGCACATGCGCCCACCCCAAGATGCTTTGCGGCCGCCGGAGCAGTTTCGGATTTTTGGACGGGAGCGAGCGGTGAAGACAGCGGTAAGTTTAAAGTGTTTTTAAAAAAAACTCTTTGCATATATCTATTGCTTGCTAGCAGTAGATATATGCAAACAAAACGGAGGGTTTAGAAACACTTTAAGTTCTGAGGTTGTGGACATTTTAGAGCAGCATCCACAAACCTTACAGTCCTTTCCAGGACATGAGATTGAAGGAAAAATTATATTCCAGGGCTTCAAGGATTGAAATATTCTGAGGATCGGAACACATCTTTTCTTGCTGATCACAAATAAACTTATACTGGATGTCTAGTGGAATAGTGCTTTTTTTTTCCTTCCTATCGTCCTTCATATCCCGAAAAGGAAACCCCTAAAAGTATCCATGGGATTAGAAAGCAGCCTACTTACTTACCTACACAAACTGTTTACCACATGTTTTGAAAAGCTGAATTGTTCAGAGCTCTTCACACCTACCACAGAAGTCCATTACAGGAGTCCGCACAACATTTCCAGTAGTTAGAAAGACTACAAAAAATTTAGTACAAGCTGTAGTTTATTTTGAGGCTCATTGACCACCAGGTTCCTGTTCCAGCCTTTATACATAACATACTTGTTTCTGATGTGTCTGCTGTCCCACTCGTTCCATAAAGTCATGCTCTGTTTTTCTTTTTTTGAGAAACTTTTTCCACCATTGCGCTTTGCTTCTTGATGGCCAAACTTCACTCCATATAACTTAGCTTGTCCGTCTCAGCTACCTAGTAGGTTCAACAATATACCTACACAAAGTTTAGTAGCTATTCTAGAAAGGCGTTCCACCTCCCAGACTTGTTTTCTTGTGCCCTCAGACTTGCTACCCTCCTTTTATGTGACCTGCTTCTTTCTTCTGCGTAGAGATTGTACATGAAGACCTAAAGATGGGTTCAGATGGAGAGAGCGACCAAGCGTCTGGCTCCTCAGATGAGGTTCAGTCACCGGTGCGAGTGAGGATGAGGAACAACGCAACTCGCAAAATATCCACAGAGGTGAAACTGATGGGTTTTATCTCCACCTTGCTGTTTGTGCATAGGTTGACCACAGCACAGTTCTCTTTTGTAACAAACCATTAGAGGAGACTTGCAGTCTCTGACCTGCTTTTTAAAGAAGAATACTTCTCTTTCCTATCCTTGCATTACAGGTGTCCCAACCCCTCAGTGGTGCATGCTTGTTCTAGGTTAGTGGCCCACTAGGTAGCAAAGGAAGCATAAACATGACAGCCCTAGAGCCCGGGTTTTGTATTTTACCCAAGTCCTTGCAGAATTTAGGTTTTAATGTTAATATTCTGAATAAAGTGTGTGTGTGTGTGTGTGTGTGTGTGTGTGTGTGTGTTATCTAGCCAGAGATGTCTTGGAATGTGCCTTCTCCCATTTACTTTGCTTCTTGCTCTTCCTCCAGGATATTAATAAGCGTCTGTCACTCCCAGCGGATATTCGTCTTCCTGAGGGTTACCTGGAGAAGCTGGCTCTTAGTAGCCCTCCATTTGATAAGCCCCTGAGTAGGCGGTTAAGAAGGGTCTCTCTGGTAGGTACTGCGTGTCTGGAAAAAAACATTTGTGTTGATGTGGAACTTCTTGTTGTCGTCTTGTCCCTTTTTTTTTTTGGTTTCATATTTGTGCTGATTTACATTTTTCCCTTTTTAGTCAGAGATCGGTTTTGGAAAGTTGGAGACTTATGTCAAGTTGGACAAATTGGGAGAGGTGGGTAACCAACATTGACAAAGGTTTTGGGAGGAGGTAGACTTGATTTGGGCAAGAATGTCCGAAGTCTGTTTTGGGAAGAACAAAATGTAGGACATCAACACAAGGTCTTTGTAATAGAAATTATGAGGGTGAATGATTTTGGGAACACTGAGTTTTGTTTTATTTTATATCAGATGTGATCTGAGGTTTTTGATCAAGATTCATGTTAAGTTCTTGATAAAACATATGGTGGGAAGGGCTGCTATGGGTTAATATAAAGTACATCTACTAATTTGCCACATTAAAACTAGTCTCGACTCAAAATGTTTTATATTGTTTTGATAAAACAGGGAAGGAATAGAGCCTTTGTCAAATTTTTATTGCTCTCATTGTCCTTGTCAGGAGAGGAGGTAATTGGAAATCTCTTCAGTGGGGGCACAAAACGAATACACGTTTGGCAGCATGAGAAAGGGTTAGAACTTCTGGATTTTTTTTTTCTTGTCCGTTGAGGGACATAGGAAGACTTTAATCTTCTGGTTATACTGCCACCTATGGGATGATTGGACACTGACGGACAAAAAACTGTAGGTTAGCCCAAGATAACCCCCTCCTACTACCAGCAAGTTTTTCCCTAGTGCCCTAGGAGGATGAACATCTTCAGCTTTGCTATGTGAAAGACTAACCTATTATATGCTAGCACTTTTTTTTTCTTCAATCAAGCTTTTCTCTAAATTGTTACATTCCAGCTACGTGCTGGAGCTCTGTCTCTTTTTTAAATGTAGTTATCTGGCGTAGTTGTCCTCAGCCTGGCGTTCCTGGAGTACCTTCTCCATAAATAATTTCTGCTCTTTTTGATGCAGTGTGCATCACTCTGATACTAGAAGATCAGCCTGTTGCTTGCACCAGTGCGGTCTCCAGCCTTAAGCCTTTTAAAAATCCCTAAGGCTACAAAGACTTTTGCCCACCCCTCATTTAAACTGCTTTTGGAAGTCCCAAAGGTTCAAGGCTTTCTGTGTCTCTCAATAGACAAGAAAGAAGATTTGGATTTTTGTACTCATTGTAAAATCCTTTTCTTGGAATCTATTGAGGGACACAGGTCTCAAACTTCTGTGTTTATGATCATGCTCTTGGTACTGTTTTGCTAAAAGCAAGGGAATGCTGGTAGTTGGAGGGGTTATCCTGGGCTGGCATATGGGTTGTTTTTTGTTTTGTTTTTTATCAGGGTCCAATCCTCCTGTAGCCTGCAATATAACCCAATGGTGAAAAACTTCCCGTGTCCCCCAATTGATTCCAAGAAAAAGATTTTATGGTGAGTACAATAATCCTATTGTTGCTGTTTCTGCTTTCCTGACCATTGACAACTTCTACCCCCTGCTCTTGTCCTGTTGTTACAGGCATAGGAAGTGAAAGGAAATCTCTCCATTACGGTCATAGACAGAAATAAAAATGTGACTGAAATTTTAAGTCTTCCCCAATTTATCCAAAACAAAAAATATGTTTGGAGTTCAACTTTAAGCCCTACTTGGACTTCTGTTGTTGACTGGCCGTTGCTTAGATATCTTTTTTTTGTTAGGGAACCTACGCTACTGTTTACAAGGGCCGTAGTAAACTGACTGAAAACCTGGTTGCCCTTAAAGAAATTCGCTTGGAACATGAGGAGGGTGCTCCTTGTACTGCAATCAGGGAAGGTAAGTGATGAGGACACAGCTGGTGAGTCAGTTAAGTCTGCATAACTGGAAGGTTATTATTCTTTAAAATAAAGCTGTCTTCTGGAACACCTCCAGGGCACGAATCTTTAGCAATGATCAGATGATCAGATATTTTAGCTGGAATAGAAAGTACGTATTGATCAGCTAGGATTTTTGTCTTTTTTTTTTAAGTGGCCAATATTTCTGGTAAGGCAGAATATAGTAAATAATCTTTTGTATATATTTCTTTCTGCTTTCATTGTTTAAACAGTACCATTACTGGTTTCTTGCAGTTTCCCTTTTGAAGGATTTAAAACATGCAAATATTGTCACTCTTCATGACATCATCCACACGGAGAGGACTTTGACTCTCGTCTTTGAGTACCTGGTGAGTGCCATCTCGCAAATGATCAGTACATGAGTCATGGTTCATCAATGGATGACACGATGGAGACTTTGCCTTACTCATGCTGGTTTGTTCATCCATTTGCTTATCTGTGGCCTTAATAATAATTAGAAGACAACAATTGTTAGAGAATTGATTGGATGCCCTGTTATTTGTTGTCAGTTTAGCTTAGAAGAGGACCAGTACTCCTAAATCAAAGAAAAGACACTTTATCTGGAAAAACTACTGCCATATGTATTAACCAATTTTTTATAAAATCTGGCCTTCTGGAGTCTATTCATGTTTGTCCTCGCCTTCGCTTCGTGTTTGACATCGGAGGCAGCTCTAGCTAGACATTAAAGTGAACTTGTCAACTATTTTAAACAGCTTAAAAAACAAAAGACATCTGCTATTATTGAATTGCCCAGAAAACCTAAGGACCCAATAAGAGCACTCACTTTTTACAAAAGGAGTTGCAGTGGGCAAGGCCTATCTCTCAAGTCTACACCTAGTATTAAGCTGGAGACTAATTTCAAAGGGGCATACAAAGAGGGGGAGGGTTTTGTGGCCAGCATGGCTAATGACAGGCATTTTCCTGCGGAGTCTGTTGAACTCAACAGATGTAAAATGTATTCATTAATACTTCAAAAGATGCATTTTGTTTAATGCAGGCAGTGTAAGTACCTACATTTGGCTTGATTTTTAGCCCCTTGCAATCCACTGCACAGGAAAGCTCAGACTGGGAGGGTAAGAAACGGCACGAAGGAGCCAGTTTTGCTATAGTGCAAGGAGTATGCTTTAGTAGGAGAGAGCAGAATGACAGAGAGATGAACCCATCAGCCTGCTGCTTCTCCCTTTACTGTTGAATCACAGGCTGGGGGCACAAAACCTGTGAGTGTTACTTAAAGTAGCATTAAGGTCTGGGCATTTTTTACACCCAGACCTTAAACAGCCCAGCACCTTTTTTCTACCCCAGTCTCCCCCACACTTAGCTGTCAGCTGCGCTCGTCCCCGCCGCCGGTCCCGAAGCGATCCTCTGTACCCCGAACGTCCGGGTTGCGGGGGAGGATACTGATGGCAGAGGAGCCATAGGCTCCTTCTTCCATCAATCAAAGAGGGAAGGGGCGTGGCCTGCCACAGGGCTGTGTGTGTCTATGGACGCACACAGCCGCTGCGCGCACGGGGGCCCTCATTAGAGCCATGGTGGCACCCGGGCCGGGGTAAGAGCATGGCAGGGACCCACTAGAAAACGAGGAATGAAGTACTTTTAAATAAAAAAAAAGCAACATCCTCCAGTAAAGGAGGGTCTCCCTAAAGGAGAAATTAAAAAAATAAAATAATTGGCTTTAATGTCACTTTAACTGCAGTAGAGAAAATCAGGCCCTTATAATTCCTATGACTGCTCCTGTAACCTGGTAGTTTTGGGTGCTCTCAACTTTAAGGGTGTTCCAGCTCCCTCTTGTTACATTCTCCAAAATATAAAATAAATCCAAAATCCAGCAGGGATGGTGGGAACTGTTTATAATGTTCACAGAAGCTGTGTAGACCCAACAAGTCAGAACAGAGATCTCGCCAATACAGGCCCTAAGAGATGGAAGGAATGGGTCGAGGAGTTTAACTCTCCAGCATCTACCAATCACTGAAATGTTAGTTTTGGGGTGGACTAACCAATGAAAAAAACATTTCTTTATGATCACCAACCAGTCATGTATCACCTTTTAATCCTTTACTTTGAAAACTGCTTCTTCCCACTCACAGGACAAAGATTTGAAGCAATATCTGGATGACTGCGGGAATCTAATAAACCTTCACAACATCAAGGTGAGGCAGCAAGCTGCGTGCAGGGGGTACAAGTAAATGTGATTTTGTTTTTTGTGGTTAAAAAAATAACAATCTCGCTTTTCTCAGCTCTTTCTTTTCCAGCTTCTCCGAGGGCTCTCGTATTGTCACAGACGCAAGGTCCTTCATCGAGACCTGAAGCCACAGAACCTGCTGATAAACGAGAAGGGGGAGCTCAAACTTGCTGACTTTGGTGAGAAACAGAGAATACCTCTTGATCTTGCCAGAAATGCAGTGTCCTTGTCACTTCCTGTGAGATTAAAGGAACACTCAAACAACTTTATCTTTATTGTGTAAACTGCTAATCCCATCAATTCATATTTGTCACAGCCGTAGGGGCTGGCAAAACAGCTTTCTTTTCATGCAAAGAAGTGAAATATTGTACAAGAGAGCTCACCTACTGCAGTACATACTGACGCCCTCAGTTCATACAACCCCTTGTCTCCCAGCATGCAATGGATAAGTTTGGAAAAAAAAAGTACACATGGTAAACTAGATTGAAGACATTCTTTATATTGGATATGGAATACAGTAACGGGTAACAGGCACTTTAGGAGCACCCCCGCCCTACTCAAGGTAATGCACTTGTCCACCCCACTCACTTTAATTGGCAATCTGGGAACCCCTTTTCTGTACCTTTTTGTAATGCAGGGGAGGTTCCTAAAACATTTATTGCAGGTTTCCTATTGTCTCTTATAGAGAGAGTGAGTAAATTCAGTGGAATTTTTCACAGCAGTCAATCAAGTTTGAATCTTATTGGTAATGAGGGAGAGGACACTGCCCAGCATAGATTCACAATGCAGACCTACCCACCCCACATGTGATGCAATCTCTAGAATGGGGAATGCGGATTGCAGAGAACCCAAATTTAGCATATTATTTTGCATTAATGTAGTCCCAACAAAAAAGGGAGAATTAGTGTCACTCTTCTAATCTGAGAAAATGGAGCAGATACTGCTTCTAATTACAAAGGGGAAACAAGCCGCGTTCTTCATTAGGAGTGATCTGCTGCGTTTTGTATGCCATGTCTGTGCCAGTCATTACATAGTGAGCAGGAGAGCTGAAGATACTTGCTCTGTTCCTACCGACCCCGCCCTGAAATAGGTCTATATGCTTTGGTAATGTGGCCTGTGCTACTCACACCCGTTTTG